TAAGCTTTAGAAATTGTACAAGCAGAAACTGATTTTATTTTACATCATTATACTGTTTAAAAACGGCCTCTGTTTTAAACAATGTGGTGGGTTGCCAGTTGGGCTTTTTGGGGGGATTGTTTTCATAGAGCTGGTTGCGTGTTTCTATCGCGAGATCTGGCAACACTGGTTAGTTAGCTTGTGTTGATGCTGTTCTCGGAGCTGCATCTGTCGGTACGTCGCTAACCAGCAGCAGTTAGTTTAACGTCCAGCCGCTTCACCGGTGACATTAGCCGTCATTGCTGCAGCTGGTTCGGTTCGGTCGTGCCTTAGCGGCCCGTCCTTCTGGACTTTATGACCGCCGTTAGCCTAGCTGCTGGCTAGCTGCTAGCTGCCGCCGTGTGTCCGATGGAGCTGAAGGGATGTTCGGCCTGCCGGATGACGGGCCGCCCGAGCCTTAAGCATGCACCCTGAGGACGGGTGGACCAAGACGGTGTCTGCTCAGGATCATCTGGACCCGGCCGAGCTCAGCAAACACGATGGAGGCGTCGGTAAGACGAGGTTTAATTCAAGCTAACGGTACTCCCCCTGTTCCAGCGTCCACCAGCTCCCACGAACATCTGAAAGGATCCGGTCACTGGAAGGAGTTCGTGCGTTTTCAGAGGTTCCTCTTGATAAAAATAGAAAGTAGCATGCAGTGACCACAAAAATAAGAAATAACGTCCCTGAAAACGTATTTGCAAATAATAATAATAATAATAATATGACACAGTGATCGTTGTTGGTTCAGTTGACTGACATCTGTGAAGTCTGAAGAAATGTGAGCAACTTGGAAGAAGAGGTGTTGGTTAAACATATGTGAACAGTAGGTCTCAAAATGTACAAACAATATTACAGAATCTAAGTTAAGAAGAACAGCATGTGGTGTTCCACAAGGCTCAATATTGGGGCCAAAATTATTTCTACTACAGTATATAAAAATATATACTGTATAGCACGGTGGAACAGTGGGTAGAGCTGCTGCCTCTCAGTGAGCAGGTTGCCCTGGTTCAAATCCCAGCCAGGTGCCCTTCTGGGTGGAGTTTGCATGTTCTCTCCGTGCTGCGTGGGTTTTCTCCAGGTACTCCAGTTTCCTCCCAAAGACCAAAAACATACATGTTAGACTGATGGTGACTCAAACTGTTCCAATGTTGAGAGAGAGAATGGTTGTTTGCCTCATGTGTCCCTGTGATGGACTGTAGACCTGTCCAGGGTGTCCCCCGCCCTTCACACAGTGATTGCTGGACATGGGCACCAGTGACTCCGTGACCCAAAAAGGAAGAAGCGAGTAAAGATAATGGATGTGTATGTGTCTAAATGGTTGTGTATTGTATAATTATTATGTATACGGTTGTACTTTTTATAGGTCTCTTTGTGATACTTTTATGAAATGTGCCACATAAATGAACTTTGATTACTTAAGTAGAAGTTTACATCAGACTTGCAAGATGTTGGTCTTTAATCTTGGCTGAGGGGAGTGGGAAATGCTGACACCAAGTTATCCTTATGGTTGTCCTTCGTGTATATTTCAGGTTCCCTTCCACATCTAATGATGAGTAAGAGTGAGAACAGGTCGGTCCCTGTGGCCCTCACCCCCCAGCTACGTCCCAGACTTCACCGGCCCCTGTGTGTGTCGGTGTCCTCCGACAGCAGTGGCCGGTTCAAAGCCCTGGAGACACAGGAATGGAAAAACAACCTTAAAGCTCAGGTAAATTAAAACACTCATCAGTTGTTGTCTTTGTTTTTATCCGCCCTTCAAAGGCGAGGCGTATTACTGTAAAGTTTCTGTTCGTCAACTTCTTTATGTCTGGCCCATAGATCTAGTTTTTCATTGATGCTGATTCTGTTTATGCTTTTAGTTATTATTCCTATTTAGCACAAGGTCATCAGATCTGATTTAGTATTCCATTGTTTCTAATTATGTTTTCTGTTTCATATTTTTATTCCATGTGCTGTAAATGTATCTTGTTACTTTTTATTTGATGTTGTGATATTTTGTTCAACACTTTGGTAACAGTTTCTGTTTTAAATGTGCTCTATAAATAAATCTGACTCGACTTCTGATCCGCTCAAGATAATTTAATGAAGCTTCATACTCATTAGGCCTGTCACGATAACACATTCTGCTGGGCGATTAATTGTCTCAGAAATTATTACGATAAAAGATAATATTGTTTGAAATTTGACAATAATTAGTAATTATTGTCAAATTTAAGAAGAAATGTTGGTTAATTTGTTTTGAGTGTAGTACCTTTTTTGACAGTATAAGACTGAACCGAAGGATGGATAGTGAGGGTACATGTACGTGTGGTACATGAGGTGGAACAAAATTGTGTACTCAAGGTCCCAGTTACACCCAAAATAGCAAAAATGTAAACTTTAAAAAACAAAAAAAACGTGTACAAGGATCTAAGATGTAAGCTAAACGATAATAATGTAATATAATACAGTGTATTAAACAGCAGCCTGAACATGAGTCTGTTGTGAGCAGATGGATATGAATAAAGCAGCTGATGGGTAATAAATCAGCATCATGGTGGTACAGAGGTTAAAGAGGGTGGGCCTGTGATCAGAGGGTCAATAATCCAAAAACAGCTGATGTGACTGAATCCAGAGCAGTCCACTTATTTTCTCATAAGTCCCAAAAACTTTTGTTGTTGTCAACATGCATTTTGGTTATTTCCTGTCTGGCGCTTTTGTGTTTTCCTGTTGGTAGTGAAGCCTCCAGGCTGGCCTCGTCTCATAATCTCAAGGCTGCAGGTCTGAGCCCAGGTTACAGCAGGAAGATCTGACCCAAGCAGTTCGGTCGGTACCATAAAAGAACCGACGTTCGGTACTCGGCTCTAATTAAGAAGAAGAAAGTGTTGTCATCGTTCAAGGACAAAATTAGTTCTCTGCTTTTGAGCCATCACACGTGAGATCTGCCAGCAGCTATGGAAGTGCCCGTGGACAGTTAGAGATTCATGTCTTGCACAGGGACATCACGACATGTGGCGGGGAGTCGAACTGCCATGTTCTCGGCCCAAACAAATGATCCAATCTGTTCGTACTGATTTAATTAATCTTTATAAAATAACAAACAATTTGTTTTTGAAATTTTTACATTGAGATCGATAGGCGGATAGGTGCAGCGTCAGCAGTGAAGCAGGTGCTGTACCGGTCTGTCGTGGTGAAGAGAGAGCTGAGTCAAAAGGTGAAGCTCTCAATTTACCGATCGATCTACGTTCCCACCCTCATCTATGGTCACGAGCTTTGGGTTGTGACCGAAAGAATGAGATCTCGGATACAAGCGGCCGAAATGAGTTTTCTCCGCAGGGTGTCTGGGCTCTCCCTTAGAGACAGGGTGAGAAGCTCGATCATCCGGGAGGGACTCGGAGTAGAGCCGCTGCTTCTCCACGTCGAGAGGAGCCAGTTGAGGTGGCTCGGGCATCTGGTTAGGATGCCTTCTGGACGCCTCCCTGGTGAGGTGTTCCGGACACGTCCCACCGGAAGGAGACACAGAGGAAGACCCAGGACACACTGGAGGGACTATGTTTCTCTGCTGGCCTGGGAACGCCTCGGGATTCCCCTGGAAGAGCTGGACCAAGTGGCTGGGGAGAGGGAAGTCTGGGCCTCCCTACTTAGGCTGCTACCCCCGCGACCCGACCCCGGATAAGAGGAAGAAAATGGATGGATGGAATTTTTACATTTATTTTGCCACAATAAACCCCTTTTTGACAACAATTTTTTAAATGAGAATTCAGCCAATAAAACATCCTTATTGTACCCACAGTACACAGTAGTTACAACATTTTACTTATAAATAGCTGATAAACAACAGAAAAGGTGAAACTGGTTCTGGAAGTGTATATCAAAAGTGAATATCAAAATGGAAAGTTTGTCAAAGTTCTCTCGAACGGGAGTGCACGTGTTCTTCCACAACTGCGACACAACGAAGCTGGTGTTTTGTCTTCAGCAGCTGATGCTAATTCTTCTTCTTTCAGCTTTTCCCTCGTCAGGAGTCTCCACAGCGAGTCCTCCTCCAGCTCACGCTGTCCTCACTCCATCTACCTCCATGTCTAACTGCATCCATATTTCTCCTCTCTGTCTTTTTGCACGTTTCCCTCCTCGTGATCTTTGACCAACAGTAGCACAATTTCCTCCGGCACCCTGTTTGTCAAACGCACCGGTGGCGGTCGTCGTTAACCCGGGCCTCGACCGATCCGGTGCGGTTTCGCTTTGATGAACTCTCATTATAGTTTTGGCAAAGTGTTTTCCGTCGGATGCCATTCCTGATACAACCATTTACCCGGGCTTGGGACCAGCACAAGAGATGCACTGGCTTGTGCTCCCTAGTTTAACTGATGCTAATTAGTTCAAACTGGTAAATAGCCCAGTAAAAACCAGACATTTGGACACAGCCTTACTGGTAAAACTAATGTAGGAACTGTTACACGTGGACTGGACTGTGTAATTATTCTGAAAACATGTTTTTGTTGCAGATGGAGCAGGCTCACAGTGCGGGAGCTGCCAGCAGCACCGGATCTCTCGAGCGAGCGTCCCTGTTCTGCGTCTCGGCCTCGACCACAAACGGCAGCTCCAGCCTGCCCAGCCCTGTAGAGATCCTCCACAAAAGCAAGATGTCCAACCGCTTCTCACTCTTCTCCCCACCTTGGAACAGCAGCTCAGAGTCTGACTCGACCCCCCTGACTCGCTCAGGCTCTAAGAAACTGCGCAATTATGGTAGGAGAGCTGTCACCGTGCCAACTGGACTCAGAGTCCTCGATGCACCAGACCTCAAACCCAGTAGCCTTGAACATTTCCAGTACTCCGATCCTGTCATTTCCAAAGTGACGGATTACATCTACGTGGGTAATTTGAATGCTGCGTACAACGGGCGTACTCTGTGCCGCAACAACATTGACAGCATCATTGACATGAGCAGCGTGCCAGGAGAAACGCGGCTCTCCCTCAGTCTCATACCCTGCACATGCTCACGTGGTGCTCGGCACAGCTGGTCCCGGCTTAAGGTGGACATTGGAGACATGCCGGACAACACGGGGGACAGACCAACGCTCAAGGACTGCTGTTTTGAGGACATCAACGAGTGCATTAATGCCTCCACAGAGAAGAGGAAGCGTGTTCTCATTCACTGCCGGGATGGTTTTTCTCTGGCACCAACATGTATCATCCAGTATCTGATGGTGAAACAAAACATGAAGCTAATCACTGCTTATGAGCTGCTGAGAGCCAAGTACCCCGTCAACATCAAAGAGTGTCACCAAAATGTCTTGGTGAGCCTGGAGAAAGCTCTGAGGCCCCGAGGCAACGTGGACCCCCAGTGCTTCAAACAAGCAATCTCACGCAAGGTGGCGTGGACCTGACCCGGTGCCTCCAGCTTTCTTCAGTCTTCACTTGTATATTTTCCAAAGAGCAGGAAGCAGGTGGACCTTCCTGTACGCTGGTGTTCTGGATTTAATTAGTTTCTTTTTGTTTTGAGTGGTAACAGGATTTTGATGTGTTTTTTTATTGTTCGTGTTTTGCAGATCTGTGGATGTGGTAAAGCTGTGATTTCCCCTGTAGTGAAAGCTGTTACTGGTATCTCACTGGGATGTGACTGTTGGAGACTAGCTGGTGAGCTACATTCCTGAGGGAGTCTCCAAAGTGTCTCCAAGCTTTGGCTTCTCAAGTTTCTTGTGGGACTCAGAACTCTTGGCACTTAAATTTTGAACGTTTTTACTTTTTGTAATTCCAGGGATGTACATCCGACACCTCCAGTGCTTCATTTGTAATTCAGACGATGCCAGAACACAAATGGCCTGGGGGGGGGGGGGGGTGCCTGGGGTCCTGCCCCCATGAAATTTTGAATAAATTAGATGCCATTTCCTGCATTCTGGTGTGTTTTAACGGGTTAAACATCTACGTTTACCTACCGCTACATTTGAAAACACTTGATTCAATAACTATTTTTAAGAGCAACCAGAAGTTGACCAGTACAATCTCCATGGCAACCGCCTTCCTGCGCTTCAGTGCTCACTTGTGTAGTTGTTCCATGAGAAGATGTATTTTTTAAATGAAACTAAATTGAACTGTATTGTCGACATTTTGATCGCTGTTATTTTGACAAATTGGCGCCGTAGTTTTGATACGTGACGAACGTAACGTGATTACCCAGCAAACATTTCTCCTGTATTTTTAATAAATAATCAACATTTTATTAACGACTCACTTAAGCTGTAAAACCGATTTGCAGTTTAGTTGTGCTGTTTAATTATATTTGTGTTTGTAATTAAATTGCCCATGACTGAACTTCTAGGGGTGGAGATTTTTTTAAGGGTAGAAGCAGAAATGCTTCCTCTGATGTCATTAATTCGTTTTTATGTCATAATTTCAGATTACATATCCAATATAAGTTTTATTCATTCAAGGCAGTCGAATTTGTTCATTACTATTATTATTAAGCCTGAGAGTTACCAGATCCAAGCAAAGAGTTACTGAAACACACCCTGTCAAAATAAGAGCGTTCCCAGATCCTGTTCCGGCGAGATCCGGCTCAGATTAAGCTCTGGACACCTCCTCATGACAGAAACCATCTGAGGCTCTGAGTGTTCGGGGGGAAACTCCTGGAAATGGATATGAAAACTGTTTTCTGACCCAGAAAACTTCAGTTTATTTACAGTGTAGCTTCAAATCGCAGCAGCGTCGTCTCGGCCCTGACAGGAACCTGCACTCGGAGGAGCCAGCGAGTGAAGCTCTCCGTGTAAGGAAGCAGCAGACACGTTGAAGCGTCACGAAAAACGGTTCGTCAAACTCGCTCCATCACCTGTAACAGACTGGAACCTGTGGTCATGGTTTTAACTAATCCCAGTAACATTAAGGCTGTTTTACGTCCTAAAGCCCGACATCAGAAGGATTTCCCACAGGTTGAGTTTGTGCTCGTTTTCATTTTCCTCTTCCTGTTTGCATCATTCAACCTTTATTTTGACAGGTTAATCCCAGCGAGCATCAGATTTGCTCATTAATCTCATGAACGTTGTCCCACTGCACGTCTCCAATAAAACACCACACACGTGCGCACTCATCACTGAGGTTTCATTTACAGATGTTTATTTGCTTTTATTCCCTACCGCCTACAAATACAGCAGTTTTTTATTTAAGTTATTATTTACAATAATTAACCGTTCATCCTTTTTAGCTTGCGTTTCAGAAATAACATTTATTTCCACTTTCTTCATTCTGTGCTCCAAAACACAAATTTCTCTTATTAGTCAAATATATGATTTGAAAACATTATGTAACTAATATAACAGGGATGGTGGTGTGGTTATATTAAAAATCTTAGTTACAAAACATCAAGACAGGAAAGTTGGGAAAATGTAAAATTATTTACTTTCTAGGACTTTTAATTGAAAGTTATACTGTATATCATGTAATTGCTAAAAATTTATATTAACAGTCATATCACCTGTACATTTAAATTATAAAACAGCTGTGAGTTCATGCATCACTCACAAAATCAAATTCACAAAACGTTCTGAAAATCAAATAAAATAACTATAAAACAGTAACTTTGATTTCAAAGCAAATTAAAATACTGAACAAGCACAGACGCCACGTTCTGTTCAAACTGCAGCTCGGGTTCTACTCTCAGTTCTGTTGGGCTTCGTAATTACTGTCAGATAAAAACGTATAAATTGGTTCTTGTTTTATTGATGGGGACCTTTTTCCTGATGGGAACTGTTCAAATGGACCTTGTCCAGGGTGAGGCGTGTCCTCACCTGATGTCCTGAGCAGTGGAACAGTGGAATCCGTGTTCTAGTGGAACAGTGGAATCCGTGTTCTTCCAAGGAAAGGGCAGCTCACGGTCTTCTGGGCTGTATTGATGCCACTGAGCCACTGTGCAGCTGAAACACCACATGGTGAAATGATACGCTAGGATGCTCTTTATGGAACATTAATAAAAGAACAACAGTTTCTGGGGGACACATTTCTCCTGAGCACTCAGGAAGTGCAGTCTCCGCTGGGCCTTTTTCAGAATCTCAGAGGTATCCCTCTCCAGGTCAGGTCCTTGCAGGAAATAAAATCTGTCACCTTCTCCACCCAGTCCCTCAGTGGGACCTCTGTTTTCTTCCTGTAGGTGATAATCAGCTCCTTGGTCTTTAAAGTGTGGAGGAGTATATTGGGCTCTACACCGCGCTGCCAGTTGCTCCACCTTGTCCCTGTAGGAGGACTCAACCACCCTACAGATGAACCCCACCACTGATGTCCTCTAAAACCTTGACAGTGGTGCTACTGTGGTGGGCAGAGATGCAGTCGTGCGTAGAGCATAAAGCAGGGGGCTCAACACACAGCCCTGTGCTTCACCACTGCTAAGGCCAAGGGCTATGAATGTGTGATGGCCCACTTAAACTCTCTGAGTGAAACCAGATTAAACCAAATAATTAATAAAAACTGTCATCATGAATTCAACCTCTGGGATAAACAAAAGAACTTGTCTGATTTGTGAAATCATCAACTGCCGCTCAGCCACTCTGTGTTCAGCACGAGACCCGAGCCCAGAACAAGCTGAAGGTGATGGATGATGGATAGTTGGTCAACGGGCAGATACTGTGCTGTATGTGGTCCTCCTGTTAGATGTACTCTACAACAGGGCTTTTCATAGTGTGGAAGAGTAAGTACCCTCAAGGAGCAAATAAACACATTTTCACGTTTTAAACATCTGCGCTTAAAAAAGGGGGAGTTACGCCCCGCCCTTTGAAAAAGGACTGTTCTAGAAGATTAAATTGTTTGAGGGTAAAGCTCGCCAAGGTTGGTACAAAGTGGTGGAGGTTGGAAGCTAAATAATGTGCACGGCCTAGAGTATAGTTTCACAAGCCGGACACTTGAATGTCCATCCATCCATCCGTCCGTCCGTCCGTCCGTCCGTCCGTCCATCCATCCATCATCCACTTTTTCCATTGTTGGGTCTCGGGGCAGCAGCCTGAGCTGGGAGGTCCAGACACCTCTTTCCACTTCCAGCTCTTCTGGGAGGACCTCAAGGTGTTCTCAGGCCAACTCTCCTTCCAGTCGGACATGCCCAAAGCATCTCCCTAGGGAGGTGCACAGGGAGCATCCTTACCAGATGCCTGAACCACCTACATGACATAGTTTCACACCAAACATGAAATTTTTCTCTTTGACAGTCACTGACAGAACTCTTCACAGCCTCTAACTGACACCGTGAGGTCACATGACCTGGAGGGAAGAGCTCCATGAACAAAACTCAGAAAGTCATCAAACTCTTCCTTCCTCCACATCGAAGATACACATTATAGATCAAAACTGGAAATTTTGTCATCTACATTTTAAAGTGGCCACCAGCAGTACCGTCAAAGTGTTCCAGGAACTTTCTAGTTGTTACTTGTCGTTTCTATTTCACCTGTTTTATTTATTTATTTTTTAATCAAATAACATCCCACCAAATTCATTGACATCCAAAATATCTTTATAGATATTTGTTGGTCATTATTCCAATGATCTGTCTGAAAATACAATTTAACTAGTCAAAGTAGGAATATTGGATAAGGATTATACATTATTTTATAATAACTTCCTGTATACATGTGAGAGAATCAGTAAATGGAGGTAGAGAGCAAACCTGCGATCGGAAAGTCACCAGTTCGCCTCCCTGGACAGATATCAAATGTGGGTGGAAAAGGTGAAGCACCTGCCTCCACCCTCATCTGCCCCACTCTGGGCCCTTGAGCAAGGCTCTTAACCTCCACCATCTGCTCCCCCGGGCCCCTAGATGCAGCTCTCTGCTCCTCACAGAGGCGGTGGTAGCTCGGTGTGTGTGGTCGTGTCAGGAAGGACATCTGGTGTAAAATCAATCACCACGTCTTCATGAGACCTTTAGTTCACTGTGGCGACTCCTGAAGACGGAGCAGCGAGAAAAAACAAATCCTTAGTAGTCGTATTTTTCATCAGGATGTGTTTTACCAGACCCACTCTAGGCCACCACTCCTGCTATTAAGGAGACATAGATTTATTTATTTCTGTTATTATTTTTGATTTAGCTCTCCTTTAGTTCTGCTGCCAAGAGAAAAGGGTGGATTGTTCTCTTCAGGTCGAGGGTGAGGTTCTGCCTCAAGTGGATGAGTTCAAGTATCTCTGGGTTTTGTTCACGAGTGAGAGAAGAACGGAGCGTGAGATTGACAGACAGATTGGTGCAGCTTCTGCAGTATTGTGGACTCTGTGCCGGTCCGTTGTGGTGAAGAGGGAGCTGAGCTGTAAGACAAAGCTCTCCGTTTACAGGTCAGTCTACGTTCCTCCCCTCACCTCTGGTCATGAACTCTGGTAAGGATGCTCCCTGGGTGCTTCGGGCATGTCCAACTGGGAGGAGACCTTGGAGACACGCTGCTTGGAGTCCTCCCAGAAGAGCTGTAAGTGGACTGAACAGTTTTTTAAAAATCATTTGCTCTTTTCTCTTTCGTCCTGTGGCCTGAGGTGACTTCTGTGGTGAACTTATAATAAAACATCTCCTGTTTTTATTTTGCGGCTCAGAAACTTCTGAGTGGTGTGGGGACGGATCGTCTCGTCTTTTTGTCCCGTCAACGCCTTCTTAACGGCGTCCATTAGGTCTGTCTTTAATGGGTTTTATTTCCTGCCCTTCCACCTGCTGTCCTCAACTCTCAGCACCTCTATTCCCTCGTCTGTGTCACAGAGCAGCTGCCTTCAAACCCAACCGGACCTCAACGGGTTATTTATATTGCACTGAATCACGTTCTAGGAGCTTCTTTTCTATTTCACTTCTAAAATCATAAGCAAATGGTTTTGTTGTTGTGGAAAAACAAAATGCAGCACTCCAGGCAGAGATGTTGTGGGGTTTTTTTACCATAAAGGGATAAAGATTTGAGGGGGTAGTTAGAAATAAAATTCCCCGTGCTGGAGCGCCTATTGGCCACTTAAATAAATTGACTCCCATAAAAGGAAAACGTGTTTCCTTTACCTTGAGGGAATACAATACAAGCTGTAAAACCAGGACCGGAGCAGCATCTCAGATCTCTTCTCTCTCCTGTTTCCACCTCTGCAGCACCGTAAGAACTTTATCTTTTATCTCTGGAAATATATCTTTTATTTTCCAGTGTCGGTTTGTCGTGCAGCTCAGAACAGGAAGTTAGAATTGTGGCTGTTTGCTGATGCTCTCTCTTGTGCTTCATTTACAACAAATGCTTTTTTATTCTGTTTTCCTTGTTTGTAAAGAAAATTCAAGTACTTCATAATTTCTGCAGTAACATTAGTTATTTTAGCTGCTGCAGGGGTAATACTCAGTTTAATGAAGTATGTGATCTCTGGAGAAAGAAACAAGAAACCCATTAATCGTCAGCGTATTGTAGATTTTAATGTCTTATTGAAATAAGCTTTAAACAAATGTGCTCCTGTTGGTCTCAGATTTAATCCCCATTCATCTACTGATCAGCCAAATTATTTTTAGGCGTAGTTTTAGTAATTTAGGTGTAAATAAAATACATCAGTACATTGTAGAGTGAGTTCAGAGGTAGTACTTTGCTCAAAGTCTGCTTCAGAACTAAGTAATGGAACAATTACTTTGATCATGATAAACATTTAAATGTTTAAAACAAATGTACAGTTTTTAATATTAGACACGACCCGTCCTGGAATACTTTGTGTGTTTCTCTCAGTAAATACTTTATGCAACACGGTGTTTTCCTTCTTCTTCTTTCGGCTGCTCCTTCTTCAGCGGTCGCCACATCGAACCGAGTCGCACGAACACTCGGCAATTAATCTTACGCCAGATGTCCTTCCTGACTCGAGCACAGACCACCGAGCTACCACAGCCCTCTGTGTGGAGCAGGGAGCTGCACCTGGGGCACCCGGGGAGCAGAAGGTGGGGGTTAAAGGCCTCGGTCAAGGGCCCAGAGTGGGACAGATGAGGGTGGTTTCAGGGTGCCTCGACTTTTCCACCCAAATTTTGTTGCTGTAGTTCAGGGAGTTGATCCGGTGAACTTCCGATTGCAGGCTTGCCATAACCTCTGCACCACCCTCCTCCATGTCCTCCAAGGCTCCGAACACACCCAAGAGTACGGCACATTAAACGCCCGCCGACAAACTTTTAAACCTCCATCTATAGCAATGGCCCAAAGTCTGCTCTTTAATTAAAGTACATAATATTTAATACAGTTAAGATTATTTACAGTAAAACTATATTTTATAAAAGATGGCTATTTAACTGTAACCTAATTTATCGGTTTCCTCAATTTAAAAAAGGCAGAGACTCGTGCGTGGCTGCAGCGACGCAACATTTTGTTGCATGTTTGAGTCAAGTGACCAGTAATTCTGTATTAACATCTAATATTTACACTGATCCAGAATAACTCAAGATATAATCTGAGCTTTCTTCAACAGTGACTTTGTCTTTTCCACTCTCCATAAAGCTCAGACTGGTGAAGAACTGGGGCAACAGTTGCTGTACGCTCAGACTGTGGTCTCAGGGGTTTCTCTCTTGGTTCTCCTTCTTTACGCTCACTCAGTTGGTGAGGACGACCTGCTCTTGGTAGATTGACACATGTTCCCATATTCCTTTCATTTCTAGATGACGGGGCCGTTCAGACCCTTAAAGTCCTTTTGTGTCCATCCCCCGACTTGTACTTTTCTGGAATCTTTTGCTCCGAGTTGAATCAGGACGGTCCGTTTCAAAGGGCTCGATGCTTCTGCAGTCACACGTAATTTATTTTGATTTAGTTTCACTTTGTGGAAGTTTGATTTCACTTCGACATTGAAAATGTTTTAGGTTTGTTTGTTTTTTTGTCAAAAAGGCTAAATGTGTATACAGTACATATTTAAATTTGTGAACTGAAGTTTTAGTATTAGCTAATTGACGTTGTGCTAATTTTATTGTATTTTTAGTTTTACTATTTAATTTTTAAACTCTCGGTGACAAACTTTTTTCTGGATTATTAATTATTATGGGGCCAAATAAAACAGGATTAAGCAAAAAGTAAAACCGCAAAGAGGCTAAATTAAATATTTTCCTATTAGTATAATTATCAGTAGTAGAGGGGGAGCGGTGGTGCAGAGGTTAGAGAAGGCGGGCCTATGATTGGAAGGTTGCCGGTTCAACTCCCGGTATCGACAACATCAAAATGTGGACGGGAAAGGTGAAGCACCCACACCTGCTTCCACCCTCATCTGCCCCACTCTGAGCCCTTGAGCAAGGCCCTTAACCCGCACCATCTGCTCCCCTGGGTGCCCTATGGAGCTGTCCGCTCCACACAGAGGGCTGTGGCAGCTCGGTGGTCTGTGTTGGTGTCAGGACGGGCATCCGGCGTAAAAATAACTGCCAGCTCTTTGTACGAGTTAGTTCACTGTGGCGACCCCGAAGAAGGAGCAGCTGAAAGAAGAAAAATAATTAAATAAATATTTGTGGTAGTTCAAAACCTGAGCTCATGAATCTCAACAGGAAAGAGGTGGACTGTTTGTGTTGAGCAGCTGACTGAAGCATCAGCAACAGTAATGAGGAAGTTCCACCAGTCTGTTGAGGTGAAACAAAAAACAGCAAGGCTCTCGGTCAGCTGCTTCGTCCACGTTTCATCCCTCACCTATGAGGTCATGAGGTCATGAGGTCATGACACAGAGAACCAGATCCTGACCTCTGCGTCAGTCAGCTGAGGAGGTTCTGGCGTCACTCCTTCTGGGCACCTCCCTTCCCCAGGAGGAGGTGGACAGTGTTTCTGGAGAGAGTGAGTCCGGGGTTTCCTTCTTGGATCGGGTTCTCTTCAAACTGACAACAAATCAGCAAAAATAAGAATCATTATTTTTACCACAACTTATGAATTTCCTTCAGGATATAAAGTCTCATTTTACAAATGAAAGAATAATTCAGTTTGTATAAAATATGTTTTAGGAAATTAGAGGTTTGGTTCTTTTAATTAATCTTGTGAAAGTCAAACCTCTCGCGTTAGTTTCTGTTGCATTTATTTCGTTAATATCAAGTAGTAACCGTAACGTTTTCTGCAAACGTACAGTGGAAAATAAAACTCGAGTCAACGAGATGAACTTAAAGTTAAACGAGAGGATTTTTGTTTGGAAACCGTGATCGTTCATCCAGACCAGGAGGGGGCAGCGTTTTCTTCCAGAGGCCCAAATCAAGAAAGTTACAGCGTCTAGAGAAGTGAACAATAAATTCTCCTTACAGATGATGAGGAAGACTGTTTTCAGGCTTGTCCTTGTCGTAGACTAGTTAGCTAAAATATGTCTCCGCACTTCTCTTTAAGAATTTAAACACAACAAAACATCAATTAATAACACAGAGTCTTTACGGTTGAGTCTTCTTCTAGAAACACAACAACTTTTAAAAGTCTTTAGCCTACCTTAATGCGAAGGTTTGTGAGTATTGGGGCCGGTTGGAGGTTGTCCAAGGGCCACTTCTGGCCCTCTGGCCACATGTTGGCCTCGTCTGATCTTCTATTTGGAGGCATGTGTTGCTCATGTCTGAGAGGTCTGGAGCAGCCGAGAAGGTGTCGGGTGTTTCTTGATAATCCTTCAGCTGAGAAGCTTTCCATGACAAGAGCTCAGAGGAACAACTGGATCCTGACAACTGATCCTGATCCTCGGCCTAAAAAAGACTCCAGAGTTTCTGAGGCGATCAGGGTCGGGTTTCTGTTAAATGGAATTATTGTTTCCATTTCAAAAAACTTTTGGCTCGTCTCCATTTAGGGGCTTGTTTTCTGTCGTTTGCCTTTAGCTCGTGACTTTATATCTGCAAATAAATCTGTTTGTGTTGTTCGTGTTTTGTAGGTTTAAAAGCCAAACAAGCATCAAGATGTCAGAGTGAGTGTTACACTTTGAAACAACTTGACTCGTATATTTGGTTTTGTTTAATTAACAGTTTTCTGAATGTTTCAGAAAAAAGATGTCTTCAAGTCGCAAGCACCATCTCAAGGTAAATGATACATTTTAATATTTAATCCAACAAGAAAACTAAACACATTTTCAGAGGAATATTTAGAAGTTGGTCGTGTGTATTCAGGATATTATGGATGTTTTTAAGAGACACTTTGAATTAAACGTGTCTGTTTTTCTCGTTTTAATCTTTTTATTATTTTTTTGGCAGAGTTTGATGCTGTCCATTGCCAAAGATTTGCTGGAGGAGGAAGAACGGGAGCGAGAGGAGGAGAAGGAGCGGTACCTGGCTGAGAGCTGTCCTCCCCCGTCCATGCCCAGGAGCATGCAGGAGCTGCAGGTTTGTCTCAAGCAGCAGCTTCAAAACGAGCATCCTGCAGCAGGACCTGTAGTAGGACCTGCAGCAGGACCTGCAGCAGGACCTGAAGCAGGACCTGCAGCAGGACCTGTAGTAGGACCTGAAGCAGGACCTGAAGCAGGACCTGCAGTAGGACCTGTAGCAGGACCTGTAGTAGGACCTGCAGCAGGACCTGTAGTAGGACCTGCAGCAGGACCTGTAGCAGGACCTGTAGTAGGACCTGCAGCAGGACCTGTAGTAGGACCTGCAG